CAGCTCAGCCCACCAGGGGGCAGGGCTGGCTGGCATGTGGTGCTGGGGGATTGAACCGCAGTCCCTTTGCTTTTGTTAAGCTTGTTCTAAGTAGGTGCTTTAGACCACTGAGCCATCTCACCAGCCCCCGTGTCATTTTTTAAGACAGGATTTAGCTTTGTAGTTCAGGCTGGCCTTGAGAGCACAACAATCTCCCTGCCTCAGTCTCCTGAGTGTTGGGATTACAGGTGCACACCACCATACCTGGCCCATACCACTTTGTTTTATTTTGCTTTTAGTTTTTTGAGACAGGATCTTGCTATATACAGTTTATATTATTCTTGAACTTACTACATAGCCTAGGCTGACCTTCAACTCATGGCTATCCTGGAATGCTGGGATTACAGGCACAAGTCACCATGCCCAGCTCCTCATTTCATTTTTTTTTCCCCATATCATTTTTAAAGTGTGAGCAGGGTACTCACTTGCTGGCTTCTGCCTACCCTACTAAACCATGTGCTGGGTTCTTCTGTGATCCCTTATTGTGCCATTCTGCCTTAGAACTAGCAGACTATGTATGGACTGAAATTTCTTTCTTTTTTTGTATTTCAGGGAAGCGTCTATAGGGTGTTCAGGGTCTCAGATAAGACTCATCTGTTTATAGCCTCCCAAGGGTTGGGATTACAGGGGCCCGCCACCACACCCAGTCTCAACTGCCATTTTAGCAAGCCCCGGGGGCGGGGCCAGGCCAGCATGGCAGGCCCGGGATCCCCAGTCCCTCCACCTGCTTGCCGTCGCTTTAATCCGCTGAGCTATTTGGCTGGCCCTTGAAATTTCTATAAGATGAGACCCAAATAAATCTTTTCTCCTTAAGTAAACTAAGTAAGTAAGTGCCAACAGGCCAGGCCTGGTGATGCTCATCTGTAATTCCACAACTAGCTAAATGGTTGCTACTTTTTTGTGTGTATGGTGGTAGTACTAGGAACTGAATCCAGGGCTTTTGCACTGAGCTAAATCCCTGACCCTTTTTTTATTTCAAGAGGGTCTAGCTAAATTGGTCAATTGTCCAGATTGGCCTTGAACTTGTAAACCTCCTGCCTCAGCCTCCCAGAGTCCTGGGATTATAGCTATAAACCACCAATCC